TCTAGTGGCTTGTGCTGGGCAGCTGTGTGCAGATAGGGCTTCTGTTTCCTGCCCGGCTGCCATGGAGTTTATCTCTGCTGGTGCTGTGGGCGTGAGTTGCCTTGGGCTGCTGCTCCAAAATGGTTGAGCCGCATTAGAGGGGGAGCGGTCAGGAGGCTATTTATCTCCTTGAGGGGGCTCTGTGCTCCCTGCTTCCCAGGGGGTTAGAGTTCCCAGAGGTCCCCATTTTCCCTGCTGCTGGACTAAGTTTCCCAGGATGCTTCCATCTGGTTTTTGGGTCCCTGCCCCTTTAAGACTTTCAAAAAGCACTTGCAAAAAAAAACGCCTCTCGCTTTTCTTTGTCCCTGGGTACCAGCTTCAGGGACCTGCTCACAGGTCTTGCTGTCCTGTTTTCCTAGTATCCAGGACCCCACGTGCACTTTGTCTGCGCTCTGGTGCGGATGGCTGGGGCTGGGTGTTTAGCAGTCCTGGGTTCCCTCTCCCTCCCCGCTCCGACTCCTCTCCTCCCGCCGGCAGCTGGGGTTATTGGCGCTTGGGTCCCGCAGGGCTGGGGTTTGTATCTTACCCCCTTCTTGAGGCGCTGGTTTCTCGCAGGTGTAGATGTGGTCTAGTCTCTATTCTAGGAAGAGTTGTCTTTTTTGTTTTTCATAAATTTATGTGGTTTTGGGAGGAGATTTCTGCTGCTCTACTCACACTGCCATCTTGGCTCCACCTCTCAAGAAACTCAAGTTTTTTGAAGGATGCATGCAAGCATGTAATCATTCTTAATCTTGTAAATCCAAAAATCCTTTGAATTTCTCCTCTAATTTAATTGCTATTTTAACTCGATATTGAATTCCAGGCTCAATCTCATTTTTCCTCAGAAATTGAAAAGTCATTGTACCATTGTTTTCTAGTCTTCTGTTTGACTAATGAGAAGATTAATGCCAGTCAGATTCTTCTTCATTTGTAGATAATCTAGATTTATTTTCTAAAGATTTTAAGTATATCCTTTGTATTTTGGAGTATAAATTCTACTAGGATAAGCATCTGTATGGATGAAATTGCCATGCATCATTTTGAAACAAAGTAGGGTCTTTCATTCTGGGGATTACACTTTCTTAGCACAAAGAATACATACTAAAAAAAAATTTTCCTCTTTCCATTTTATGTCCTCATTTCTAGAATTATTCTTAGACAGATGTTGTCCTTCCTATACTGATTCTCCCTGTCTCCTAACTTAATAATTTACATCATTTTTTTTTTGTTTTGCTTGATAATTATTAATATATCAATTAATGCTTATTGAATACCTCTTAAGTAAATACTGAACTCTGTATATAATGAAAGCAGACAAAAATCCCTGCCCTTATGTTATAGGGTCTCATACATCCTAGTTCAGCTTTGCTGAGTGATTGATTTTCTCAGCTCTTAGAGAATAGTAATCTTGTTTTCATCTAAGTTTAACTTATTTTTTTCCTTCTATTGAAAATTTAAATTTGTTTTCATATTTCAAATATATAAAAGTATTTTGTCTTTTCTTCTACTTTTTCCTTTATTATGGTCTCTTCTTAATTTTATGGTTTCAATATCTATGAATAGATTCAAGATTGCTAATTACATCAGTTTCTTACAAAGACTTTAATATCAGAAATATGATGTAAAAATTTTATAGGTACACATGAAAAAAATCAGACATGATCATAGATGATTGCAAGCAGTATACTGTCTATCAGTGTGGAAGGTGAAGGTCTACAGGTGTGATATGCTTTAGGGAAGACAGGATAATTAGGACTCCCCTTCTTCTCTGTCTCAGAACTGACACATGCTACACTCCTCACAATCTTTCTTTGGGGTAGTAATGTTCCTAAATGCCCAGTGTGCTCTTCCTCCTTTGACCCATTAGTCACATTCAGAAGTATGATTGGAATACACTGGGGCAAACCTATGATCCAGGTAGGTCTAAGTTTTCAGCATTGACTGTACCTTGGCCAAGTGTACTTCAGGAATCACAATATGAGTTTGGTCACGAATAATAACCTGGAAGCCTGTTGGGTATCAATCTACAAACTGGATCATATACTTTTTTTTTAATGGTATAAAGGGTGGAATAAACATTTTGGGCACCAGAGCTCCCTGGTACACAGCATGGCAAGAGTTCTATTTTATCTTCCAATCCATGTACTTATCCTGGTGAGAGTAATATTACATATCTGGTTGACTGGCTCTTCAAGCTCTGCTATGATATATATATATGGATTTAGTTATAGTTGTTGGGTCTAATAATATGGAAATGTGAACTTGAACTTCTTATATTCAAAGGAGACTTTCCATAAGCAAGATGTAAACCCAGAGTCTGTCCCTGCAAACAAAAATGTAGAAAACCACTAATTTTGAAGGACCTTTGAACTCGTGGGCTAACCTGTGAATCCTGGCCATGACTCCTCCAGTGGTACAGTGTCCTTGGGTATCATTATTGGCAGAATTTTCCTCAGCAGTGATGTGATACTTAGAGACGTTAATTGCTAGTGGAAAGTGTCAGTGCAAATTCACCTATGAAGTAGTTTTCAGGTCTACAAACTCTATTTTGAAGACAGGTTCCCTATCACCCATATCACTGATGGTGGCAAGGGAGTCACCTCCCCTAAGCTTCAATAGTCTTGTTACCTACCTTGATGACATTCAGGGTAGAGCTCCCAGCAGTCAATTGCTGGTCTGGGCACCAGACTGGCTAGTGTGGTAGAGATGAATGTGCACATATAGCTGTGGGTTAGGAGCTGAAGCTAACTGGAAGAGACAGCCCTAGTTACCATGCCAACAAGCTAAGGTTTGTGGTAAGCAATTTATTCACAATTTTTTTGAAAGTTTGATTTTATCCTCCAAATGACCTATTTTGAGTTAGCGTGTGTTATTGTTTGCTCATGCTGGGATTTCCTTTCAGCATAAGGAAATCCCCAAATCATCTCTAGTGATACTTCATTGTTTGCTCATGTTTATGAATGGTGCTTAGATGGATTACTGTAAATAGCTCATGTACAGGTTTCTCTGAATCTAATGTAAATAGGTTAAGAAATAGAAGGAGGAAGACAGCACATCAAATTATGCAGAATATCTTAAATATAGTAGCCTTATTTAGAAGACAGCTAAATACAAATAAAAGTGCTGTGCTGTTTTTGAATAATGACATTTGTCAGCCTTCTTATGAGTGACCAATAATTCCTTCTCTGTTCCTTTGAGTTCACTATATATTGATAAATTCTAGTAGAGAGAAGGCTATATTGGTTTAAATATTGGGTTGGGTTAGATAGAACTCCTGTCATAGGAAGATTGATAACCTACTAGATCTAATTATCTTTCAGTAATTTGGGAAAATGCATCAACTTGTCAAACTTGGCATCAATTTAGCACCAGGAGCAAATATTGAATAATGAAGATGGTTTATTACAAAAATCCTTTGAATAACTATTTTAACTTCTTTTACAAAGATTTTCAGACATACTTAGGACTGAAAAGGAGTAAAATTAATGTGAACAGTTTTATAGCAATCCTTTCCCTTCTACCACAAGAGATGTGCTCCATTTATAGTCCTTTAAGTGCTGAGTTTAAAATAATGTGTTGCCATATTTTATTTGCTCTCCATTGTATGCTCAGAGATAAAATAACAATATCAAAGCAGTAAATACTACATAGAATATAATGATGGAAACAGTAGTGTGATAGAAAAATATAACTCACTTTTCTTATTTATATGGGGATATTGGAAAACAAATCAAACCAAAAGGGAGATTCTGTGAGAAGTAAAATAAAAAATGATGTGCAATTAAATTTTCTCTTTTAGTTCCTCATTTTAAAGACTGTTTTCTCTGTATTCTTCACTGATCTCCATGGCATGACATTTCCAGGAGGGAGGATACAGCACAAGCCAAGATAACTACAAGATGATTACTGCAGATGTTGGAATGGTCCTCACAAAAGGTGATTCTTCAACGTCGTTGTTTCTCATTTCATTTAATGTGCAGTTTCCATGATTTTGTGTTCTCTTAATATCTTCTATTCAGTGCTTATCAGAACAAGAGCAAATCACACATCATTATAGTACAGTAAAAAAGATTTCAATTGTTCATGACAGAAGATTTAACCACATGTCTTATCCTGTTGCCTGTTCTTTTTTCTTGACTGTTATGTTGATATTTTTATAGTTTCCTGTTTCAGTCGTAAAGTAAAGGAACATATTTTGTGTAATTTACCTTTGACATTAACTTCCATTAGATAATGATAGGTAAGTACAACTGATTATGGTAGTTTACCTACTTTGTTATTGCAGAATTCTGGGCTTTTCTTTAATTATCATAAGGTCAAATCACCTTTGCCTACCTGCATAACTCATTGCTTAGGTAGCCTCCAGTAATTGGGGACAGAGATGTTTCTATGACCTGGTGCCCTCCTGGTATATATGATGAATATGGGTATTTTTCTTTATGTTTTTTCATGGTTCTAAACTATGGACTGATTCAATAATAAGCCATAAACACTAGCATATCTTCTTACATGTATATTTTTAAAAAATGATTGTCAGGATTCCTATGACAAGAACTTACAGCCCTGTTCTAGAGGACAGTTACTCACTTGTGATGAGGGCTCTGGTACAGAAGAGACAGGGCCTCATTTTTTGGAAGAGCTCATGAAGTCTCTGAAAACCCTGACTTTTATGCAGGAAATCCTGAATGCACAATGTAGATTTCTCTCTCACGTACTCAAGTGTGGAAGAAGAGGCATTTCTGTTCCTTAGGAGGCTAATGCTTTACTGAAAGTAGTTTAGGTCATTAAAAACATGGTCCCATTGTGGGTGCATTAAATACCCAGTAAAAGGAGCCTTTCTTTTTCTTTCTCTTGCTCCCTGTTTTTGAGAGGGTCCGTTGATATTTTTATGAAAGCACTAACTTCTTTGGAACTCACCTTAGTACTAAAAATCAGTACTCTTCCTGAAACCTTTGGACATTTAAATGTTCAACCCCGTATTTTTTCTAGTAGTATTCTTGCTGTCACTAGAATCAATATAGTTGCTTCCTACTTGACTAATGACCTCAAAGTCTGCTTAGTGTTGCCCTATCATGAATTTGTACAACTGTTCTAATCACCATTATTTCTTTAGGTCAGTTGACTTTGGATTCTACTGAGAAGCCGGAACAATTTTATTGCTCTCATTACTGGTCGTGGTATATCTGCTTAATCATTTGTCACAGAGAGCTACTCTTATTTTCTCTGCCCTTGATTTGTTATATGCAAACATAAATCAAAGACTATGCATATAAAACTCCTTGGAAGAACTTCATTAATTAAAAACTTGTGGGGGAAAATGATGGTCAGGGGGCAACAAGTGTATCATGATACCACATTTCATCAGTTTTTCACATATTAACATGTCAAATTAGTTTTCATGTTACAATCAATGGCATCTTAGATTTGCTAAAAAAATGGTACCATCTACAGTCCTTTTAATATTCTGAAGCATCTGTGTTCAAATACTAAATTGTGCTAGATAATTTAGAGAATTATATAAAGAGTCTTCATTTCTAAAATGAAACATCACGTTTTAATGGAGATGGTATAGATTTTGGGGAAATCCCCAAAATAGTTATACTCTAGTCAGTAGGATATGTTAGACCCTGGGTTATAACATTGTCTGTTTTTCAAGATCCAGCCAGGCAGGGATAATCAGAATGGAATTGTCAAAATTAAAAAAAGTAAAATGCACAAAATCATAACTGGCACAGTATTGCTGTGCACCAACAAGTGTTTGGAGAAGTTGGGAATAACTCTCATTCAAATGGGAAAGTTTCAGATAGAGTGTTCTGAATCAAAAACTGGGAATGATCAAAACAATCTAATTTTTTGATCACTGTAAAACATTGCTGATAAGAGAGGGCACTTAGCCATCCAACTTACATACAGCCAAAGTGTTTGAAATCACTTCATCAAAATATATTCTGATAAAAAGCAATTAAAAGGATGGGATTCAATCCCTCTTACTCTTTTCCTGGGTGACCTAACAGTCCACTGTTGGTTGAACAATTTCCAAGACCCAGTGAAGCATAAGCTCTTCATATTCTGCCAGCATTTTGAAGTGGATAAATTTATTCTACCTAATCCTGAGTATACTCAGCATTCTGCAGAGTTAGTATCAACAATGGCCACGGCTGATGAAATTGCCTAGTAAATCATGCTCCACACCTCATTCAAGACAGAACCATCTTTAAAAAGTGAGATGTATCTTGGACTTGACAGGCCTGACAGGTCAAATCTAGGTTTCAAAGCCAAAAGTAGATTCAATGAAACAGTATGAAACCAAAATTTATTTCAGAGACACTATATAGTGAAATTAAACTTGGTTTCAAATGTTATAGGTATACATAAAAGCCTCATTTGTGGGATTTAACAATATTTTAATTAATTTATGTACCCAAATTGTAAGGAGAATAACAATGAAAACTTAAGCAGAACCCATAGACTCTGAGTTTAAATGTCCTTGTTTTTATTTGGGGCCAAACCAGATAAAATAAATGATTCTGAATTTGAAAGTAAAAAAATAATTAGAAGTCTCTTCCACTGCATTCTAATTCTTACTGAACACTGTGATTAATACCTGGAAGGTACTGTCATGAAATGGAAATGCTTGGCCAGATCCCCCTCAAGGCAGGACTTGTTCCAGCTGTCAGCAGGCAGGCTCCAACTGTTACTCCTTCAGTGTTTGCCTAGCTTGTGGAGAGCAGCCTCACCCAAGGGAGCCTTCCTAGGGTAGTTCACATCCAATGACTAATCACGGTAAGGTATAAAAGCCTGGCCATTTTAGTCCATCAAAGAACGAGCCATATATGCTCCAGGGCTCTGCACAGGGTTAGATGAGACTTTGTTGGGACTGCATTGCTATTCAGCTACTCACTCTGCCCAGTCCTGCTCCCTTCCCCTTCCACATGTTCTGAGCCATCCTGCATGCCCAGTGCTTTCTCGGTCTGCTTCTGGGAAACCAGCCTCCAACATGGAGCATACCTAAATGATCTCGGCACGAAAATGTCAAGCCCCAGTTCTTGTCTGAATGCCACCACAAACAGTTCAGCCTGCAAAGGGAAAAAATGGCAGCATGCAGGGTTTACTCCTGCTTGCCCCAGGAAACAACTTTCTTACTCCCTTGCCAGAAGGAATCGTATGTCATTCCTTCTTTCCCCAACACTTGTCTATGCAGTGATAATTGGGAATTTTTTCTGTGTGTGTGTGTGTGTGTATGTGTGTGTGTGTGTGTGTGTGTGTGTGTGTGTGTGTGTGTTTACTATTTAAAAAATCTAGATAAAAAGTAATATACCTGTAGGGGAGAGAACCCCAAAGGAGAGAAATGTACATATAAATTGTTGCAGAATGACTCCTGGGCTGGCTTACTTTTAACACTTTATTTCAATACTTTTTAATCCACCTGCTTATTTTCATTGAATCAAGCAATCTTAAAATCATGCACCAGAGAGTTAAGAGGCTTTACTTATTTATTTATTTATTTTTAAAAAAGGAAAAGTAAGAGAACTATTCATCCACCCCTGAACCTCCCACTGTGGGCTATAGGGAAGGTAATTCTCACTGTAGGAAGCTTCTTCATTTGGATTTATGCAGCTTGCAATGCACAGGGTGTGACTTGGTGCCTAGGGCCCCAGTGTGCTGTGGATTGTTTTCCTTCTTATGAGGAAAGTCAGAGTGTTGAAGGTGGGTCTCCAAGCAACATCCGTATGTCATCATAGCAATCTACTTTCTGATTGGGGCTCTTTCAACTAATAGCATTTTACCCTTCCCTCACATTTACAGTCCCCAACACCTGCCTATCAGATGGAAAACTTCTCATAAATAGCTCCTCTCCTCCAAGGCTACGGATATGGAGATTCATCTTTTATAGCTTCAATTAACATTAAGTCCTAATCAGAGGACTGTAGATCTAATTTATTCAAAGCCTTCAATTTTCTTAGTTGTATAAAATAATAAATATTAGGAATATGAGACATTCCTCATGCCAGATGTATTTGAAGGATAAATATATTTATTACTGAACCCTGACTCTATATCAATATAATTTCTCTATTTTTCTTGAATGGAAAATCAAACAAACAAAAAAAACCTACAAAGAAATGATTAAACTTTCTCTACCATTTTGTGCAAAACCTGAAGATTATCTATATAATCACAAAAGAGAACTGGCCAGAGAAGTGGCCCTGCCTACCCTCCATCATATATAGGCTCTCATCTACCCACCTGTGCTTTCACTTGAGTATGGAAAAGAGATTACTGAGGTGAACGACCATGACATTCTATGGAGAAGAGTGACTTCAATTTTGAGGGAAGTAAATGACTCACAGTTGACTCATAAAGAATAAAATCCTTTTTGGCTGTTTATTATTTTCCTTAGTCTTTTTCACATAAACCTCTTTGTTTTCCAGTCTTGCCTGACATTTAACAGTTTTTCTTTATCATTCTCATTCTTGGTCTTTGATTGTCAATCCACTTTTAGAGGGAGGGTGGCAGTAATCGCTCTGCCTTCTTTTCTCCACTTTTCTACTAATATAGTCCCTTTCACTCCTACCAGGCTCAGACAGGAATATATTATTTTAGTATTTTGCATAGTGGTTATTAGTGTGCTCTACAGAATAAGAGTTCAGTTAGCTGTGTGATCTTGGGAAGGAAATCTGGTGTTTCTCAGGATATGCTCAGGAAAACAGGCAACTCTAAGTATTTTGAGAAGGAAGGGTTTTCCAGGAAGAAACATCTTTAGTTACTAGAGAAGCTGGAGGAGTGAAAGTCAGGGAAGGCTGTTTACCTGATTTATCAATTATTTCTTGTGTTAGTATTTTCTTCATGTTTTAATAACCTCATTAACCTTTGCAGAACACAAGAGCTAGAGAATGCTTCTAGATAATACTTTATTGTTGTAAGTATTTTACTAG